GACAGTAAAAACTTCTCAACATTGATCTAATTTAGCACCTTATGACATGAATGGGAAAATATCCATTTATGTGAATGGGATTACAGTTAGGTCAATGATCAGCACTTGAGGACATCCCAGCCCAAGGTCTGGCAGGTTTATTATTTAAATATTTATACTTTTTATTAACAATTAAGAGACACATTTTGTAGGGGCAAACTTCAAGCAACTGCTCCTAGCAGCTGGCACTTCCTTTGCTTGGAATCTGCTCTGTAATTCCTTGCTTTTATTAATTACATTCATGACTGAATGAGAATAGTCTCCCCACTCCCCTTCATTACAGCAAGTGGAAGGATTAGGAGATATGTCATGCTTGCTAATGCACAGCAAGCTACGTTTTCCTAAGGCACTCATGCCAAGCCAAGGGCTTCATCCTCAGGCAAGGACTGCCTCCTCAGGACTGGAGCTGGTGCTGTGCCGTACACACTACTATATTTATTCCCCAGTCACCAAACACTCAAAAGAAAAGCCCCACAATCTCCCCTCTGGGTTGCTAGTTAGGACAACACCTACTGTAAGAATGTATTTGTGTTGCATTTGATTTTTGGTCATTTTCTACCAAGCTTTTTCTTTGCCGGGGGAAGTGAAAGCAAAGAGATAAAGAAGCCCTTCTTTAAGTGTTTGGACTGGGAGGCAGGTTATTAGCTGCTCCCTCCTGTTAAACCTTTAGTTAAGGTACTGCAAGTTACAGTGCATGAGAACAAAAGGTGCTACGGGCTCTCAGCAGTGGGAGTAACAGAGGATTGCTTATATCTACAGTATCCTATTGATTTGTTTGACCTTTCCTTTTGCAAATACAGTACAGACAAAAACTTAAGTTTTGCCCACAGTACTTCTATCTGTGGGGGGAAGGAAATGTGTTTCAATGGTAAAATCAGACAGAGTAAAGGAAAATACAAATTACTAAGTGCGCACATGCATTCCACAAGGCAGCACTTAGAGCTGACAGAGCAAGCTTGAACAGGAAAATGAAAAGCCAGCTGCATGTAGGAAGAATGCACTTAAGATTGTGTGTGTGCGCACGCGCGTGCGCGCGCGCACACACACACACACACACACTTCAGTGAATTCATGTACATGCATTCATATCCACACAAACAGGATGAGAGCGAGAACTTTTTCATTTCAATACATTGTGAGATGAAGAATGCAGAAAACTGAGCTTTACCTTTACTTTACCTTTACTTTACTTTTACTTTTTTAGCACACAAAATTTAGTAAAACAGGAAAATTGTTCACTTTGTTTCCCCATTGTCTATATCTAGGTTTTTTGTTGTCCCACTTCCCTCCCCACTTCATGTTGCACTTAAATTTTCTGGTCAGGATCGACAAAATTTGTATAACCAAGTGACATCAGCACTTGCCTGAACAATCATCACAGGCAAATTTGGATGTTACAAAGTGCTTTGATAACAGTAAGAAGTACCTGACACTGAATTCCGAATCAACTAGGACCAAGACAGCAATTTTACTTGGGGGAAAAAATCTATTTGGGCCTTATGTATTTCCACTGGTGCTTTGGTTCTTCTTCTAAACAGGGTTTGAACTCTTTGAATTGGATTTAAGTAACATGTTGGCAATCTTAGAGTCTGTATGGTTTTTACTAGTCCCTAGTTGATATCAAATAATATCTTAATTACAGTATTGCTACAGCTTCCTCCGCTCTACATCCATGCTGGCAAACCTAGCAACACTGTTTTTTTGTTTTTGTTTTTTGTTTTTTTTTGATTGGGTGCTCTGGCATGCTACTATAATTCATACCCTAATCAGTACTGTGTTTAAACCCAGTTTCCTAACAAAGTCAAAATCTAATGAAAATAGGGCCTAAAAACAATGGATAGCTTAGATTCCTATACTGTCAAATTCTGCAGAAAGAGGGCAATCAAATAGGAGAGGCAGTCTCTAAATTAAATCAAGCCACCCTTTGGTTCTGGACACACAATATATTTACATCTGCATAATTAATCTTGATACCACCATAAAAAAGAAAAAGGCAGGTACATGAAGTATGAATTTGCACCAGTTTAACTCAATCAAATTTGGTTTAAAGCTAGCCCTGGAAAAAAAAAACAGGTAAACTTACCCAAGTGTCATTTACAACTGGAGGGGTTGTGCATCTTCAGTTAACCCCGGGGGTAGCTGTTTGAACAAGGCAAACTGCTTATTATCTGTGCTGTAATAATGCCCACAATGCGCAGCTACTCTAGGAAAGCTGCTTCTCTCTCTCTTCCACATTTCAATGTAATTTACATCCGTGAATGAAACTGAACAAATCACCTAAGTGTAATCTGCCAAGGATGCAGGCCCTTCATTTTGTGCTGTGTACATAAAAATGTACCATCACCGTGCTAGATTACTTTAATATGAATAGTTCTAAAAATGCCCTAGTTTTTCATAAATAAAATTATTTTTGGTGAAAAGCTCAGTGGTACAGCATATAGAGTAATGCAGGGAAACAAAATCAAATGCCATTCTTAGCTAAAGCAGAGTCTTCTGAGAACAGAGTATTAAGTGTGTCAAACTGCAGGATATTTTCTGGACATTGCTAGTGTGTTAAGACATACTGAACACGTGTCACTTATAATCCTGCCCTGGTTTTAAGACCACAGTTCCAGAGGCAAAAGTCCAGAGTACTAGTTCTTTGTTTTGAGCACTCACATACGTGGCTCCTCTTCCCACCAAGCTGTCACTCCTCATTTGTTAAAGAGGTTACAGTAAGTTATAATTTGTAGCTGCTGCCCTGTCAACTAATTAAATGTAATAAAAAGCTTGCAGTGAATTTAATACTACCATGGTGTAATTAAAGCTGTCTTGAATACATAGTTTGTATATTAGAGGTTCAGTGCATGTCCTCCACCTTTAATGACCTAATTTCTCAGGTTAAGCTACTGTATCTTTCAAATGATTAGACAACAAGTACCATCAAGAAGTTTTGGAGTGGAGTGCACATCTTGGCCAATCCAGTCTAATGCATTTTTAAAGGCACATCAAAAATAGCTTGAGGGGGAAAGAGGAGGAATGAAGGGGCTGGTTACTTCAATTCCTCCATCTTCCTTTAGGAGGCACCACTGCTCAAAGTTTTCCCCTCCATGAGACTCCCACCGCTCTCACCCTTTATTTTCCTTTTTTAAAGAAAAAAATAACATTTTAAAGCCATGACTAACCCCATCTGTCAGTCAGAGGGGCATCCTGGGTAAAGGGGCACCATGTGCAACTGCCCTGTTTGCATGTCCCTAGGACTGGCTCTAATAGTCTATAATCAGAACAGTTGCCTTAGAACATCTCTTAACATGGGGAGTAAGGAAAGGCTGCTATAAAGGCCCAAGTGGAGTATAAGCAACAATAGAAGAGATACAATACATGATATTCCTGCACTTGGAGGACCCAGTTTCTTATTCTGTCAAGTAGTGGGGAAGGCAAACACATTAAGGGTGAAGAATCTCACAGTAGCCAGCTTTTAGATCAGCCAAAATGTTGATAATTATAGCTCCAGGTAGTTGGTTGTTGCACCCACTAGATTCCTCACGTTCCAGAACCTTTCCCAATTATTCTCCACATGGCCCACCAATACATACTATAAAATCAAATAGCCCCTGAAACAAAGGCATCATTCAGTGAACAAAAATATAGCCTAAGAGAATCAATTAAAATGATGAAAATCTTTAATTTTTATTTAAGTATAATTGTACGGACACGTGTATATACAAATACAGATCTTATGGGTTGTTGTCTTTTTGTTGTTGTTCTGCTTTTTTGTTTTTGTTTTTTTTTTTACATTTTTTTTTAAGTTCATATAATGTCAGCATTTCAAAACCAGCACTCAATGAATAAGTGCAAAGAAACTGCAAAGCAGGGCAGTACACGCACAGGACCACACTGAGCCGGACTTTCATACCCAGATGCACACACAATGAGTGGCTTCAATGGGGTGTCAAGAGTAAGCATGGAAAGCGGATTTCGCAGACTCATGGGTAACCTCCAACATGCCAGCATCTATTAAACTGTACAGACAATGGCAGCAAGCCTATTGTAGGGAGATTTGTCTCACATCCGAGAAGCTTGGGGGCGAATGCATGGGAAAAACTCAGTGATGCCAAACCAGAAACAGATCTGCCCATTCACTGCTCCAAATTATAAAAAAAAAAAAAAAGGAGGGGGAGAGCAGGGGGGTGGGGGGAGGGAGAAGGGCGGGGAGTTGTAAATAAAACTGATCAGTACAAAATCTAAGCATAATGAATGGAGGGGAGGAGTTACATTCTTTTCTACATTTCTGGAACTGACAGAACCATTGCTCTCATCAGGCAATAGGTAAAGTTCAGTTTCTAAGAAAAAAAAAAATCAACAGGTACAAATACAATTTCTTTCCTTTCACAATTCCACAGGAAAGGAAATAACCCACATTTGAACCCTCCCAGAGTTGTTTCTTGATGTTTTGGAATTAAGTCTATGTGCATGTCACACATGATACTGGGGGGGAAAAAAAAAAAAAAAAAATATATATATAAAATCAATTCTGAAAAAACTATCCAGGAAAAAGAAAACAACCAGAAGGAAACCAGAAAACAAAACAGGTAAAAAAGGAAAAGAAAATGAAATGAGAGAGTTGTTAAATTCCCATAGCCTTTTAGAAACCAACTTGCTTAAAAAAAACAAACAAACCAAAACAAACAAACAAAACCCCATAACAAACATAAAAAACCCACAGAGCTCCAACATCAGACCTTTAAACACCGAGGACAAAACATTGATCATCAAAAGTCATGTTGTTCAAGGTCCTGACATGGTGAAGTCTTGGGATCAGATGAACAATTTTCACAGATGAGTCCTGTATGCTGCAGTGTCATGGCCACTTGTAACTCAGTTCTCAGCCATGATCACACTTGATGCTTCAAAGCTCTGTCTTATAATCAACACATGTTTTTAATATCCTGAAAGTCTATTGTTCTCACTTACAAAAGACATAAGAATCAAATTAATACTTTATTATCAAACACTATATACAACAGAGGTTGCTAATAATACAGAATTTAAAGAACATAGCTTTTTTATGTTTTACTTGTCTTTCCTTTGCCATCCAAGAAAGTACAGTACAAAACAATATTCTAAACTAACACGAAATGTTACCTTGTCTATTAAAGGATACACAGTATCCACTAAACAGACTGATCCATATTTCCCTGCTTCATGTTGCAAAGCCCTTGGCAACCAGGAGTGCAGCTCGTAGGGGTGAACTATCTGGACTGAGGGACTGCTGTAACAGAATTATTCCCTCAGACATCTGTGGGGATGTGTTTGTGGGGAGGAAATCTGACTAAAACTTGCACCAACATCCTCCAAAGCTTCCAGAGTTTTGTAACTCAACACCAAACACAGAGATTCAATGATTTATAGCACTTGCTTAACTTGGTATGACTGGGATTGCCAGATGCCATCAAGTATTCAAGCTAATGTTTGGTAAGCTTGCCACGCACAGTTATATTATTCTATGCAGTGTAGCAATCTATTAGCTGTAGTAGTTTTGCTGTGATTCATTTAGTTAGCAGAGGCAATGCAATAAAGCAAAGAGTTGAATAAGTGAATAAAAGATTAGTGAATAAAAGTTTGAGGTTGATAGATATGCAGCTGTGAGTTCATTACCATTTATAGAGAACTGATGGAAAACCACCAAAGCTACCATTTCTAAAATAAAATTAGCATTATTAATAGAACTATGACTGTGAGCTGTAGGAAGTGTTTTAAGGGTGGTAATCTAGCATGCAATATTATCTTTACTCTGCCTAAAGATCCTTAAAGGGGTGCTTTAAGCCTCAAGGCCACCTTCCTCAAAGCTCTAATAATTTGCTGAAGAAAGTACTAGCACTTGCCCCAAGTATATGTGATAAAGAAATAAATTTACTGACTATATCAAACAATGTCTTCATCATATATTGCAACAAAAATGGTTGATTTTCCTCACTGCTTAGACTTTGGGTCTTGGTTGTATGTGCTCGATATTAGTAGAAATTTCCTCAGTCTTATCTTAAATGCAGAGGCTGCATTTAATATCCATACTCCATGGTATCAGGCAAGCCCAGATTTTAGCTTAACAAGGGTAAAACTTCCCTGTGTGCCTTAAATTCATTTCTTCCCAGAAACCTCAAGGAATCAGCTTTTATTTTCTTTCTTTTTCTTAATTATATTCACAGAATGCTGTCCATTAATTATACCAGTTCATTTTTAAACTACACTTTATCTTTGAAACAAACACAGAAAAACCTTTGTGTTGTTGGAAAGTGCTCTGTTTTTTCACATTTAACATAATATTTTCTTTTTTTTTTCGTGCTTGAAAGGTTCTGTTTCAGTGTTGGTGACATTTCCCTGACTACGTTCCAGAGTTCGAAGTCCACGGCAGTCTAGCCAATAGAAACCCCAAGGCTTGCATTTCCTGGCACATGACTTTTTCAAGTCCTATCTTGGCCATGCTCAGTTTCTTTAAACTTTCCATCAACAAGACACTCCCCATATTCCTAATTGCATCAAGGGTTACCACTTCTCTCACATGTTTAAATAGGACAAGCATATATACTCACTCTCAGCATAAAGTATATCTAAATAATGTATTTTCTATTCTAGTGGATTTTTAAAAAAATATTTTGTTAAGTCTTTGGGAGCCCATCTAGTTTATCTCCTGCTGATAAACACGTTTCCTCTACTCTTCAAACTGTGTTGGAAAGGGGAAAAAAAAATCAACTCTTGAATTTGTATTCCACACTCTTCCTTTCTTCCCCCTACCAAGCAATGCCGATTGACTGTCCTGGCTTCTTCTACTTGTGTTTTATTCTCAGGGTTGTTGAACTTGCAGGGGAGACAAATCAAGAGCACACTGGAGAGCCAGTGTCCCAAACATGTTTCCTCTGGCCACTGATGTCCTCTCTTTAGTACGTATGGTCACCCAGAGCAGCATCCAAGGCTATCAGCTACTAAGTCAGCCCCGGGGAAGGTCACTTTATTCACAAAAAATGCTTCTGCATTTCAAGAAAAAAATTGTAGCACCATGGTGATCTGCTTTGAAAGAAAATAATCTGGTGTGTACTATCCACTGAAACAGAAGTAACCGAGGCACTATCACCCTCAGTGAAGTTTCCTAAATCTGACCTTGCTTGCTGTGTGCTAACATTCCTAAGTATTCATCTCCCCTCCCCCCGCAAAAAACAGAGCTTCTATTGTGGGAGAACAAGCTTTTCTACCAAGGATGTTTCAAGCCAGTCCTATAAGAAACAATGTCTTTTCCTTTTAGAGCCCGTTCATTTTGAAACTCCTGGAGGAAGTGGTGTTATATTGTATCTGTTCTTAATATCTCCCCTCCAGTCCTGACATGATAACATGATGCCTTGCATGATCATCTTACAGAACTGAACGAGAAGGCATAAATATTGTATCGGAGATTAAAACCCTCCCGGGCTTCCACTCAATTTCCTTATCCTTCACTGACTGCATCTGCCACTATTCTTCCTTGTCCACATACAGATAACACAGTGAGCTAACGGTGGTGACTTCTTATAGGAGAATGCAGAGGAAAATAAGAATCACTAGTGTCACTATTATAATTTGGCATTTTCATTTGGAGTCCTTTTATTTTTTGGAGGGGTTGAGGAAAGTCACAGGGAAGGGTTGGGTGTTGAAATTAGTTATTCCCCTCAAATTCTTGCTCATAGTTCAGGCTGAAAAGAAAAAACCAAACCAAACCAAAAAAAATTGACATCTGCAAAACCAATATAAAGTCCCTTTCTTGGGATAAGCAGTTAGGTGGATCTTTGATGTTCCAAGACCCTGATGTTTTCTGTGACAGGTTACTGGAATATACTGTGCTATAATATCAAAAGCATCGCCAAGAGGAACAGTAGGGTTGCCAAAAGCAGGCTGGATATCCTTGGTGTCTGTGCCGCGTTATCACTACGAGATGGCTCGGCTGACTCATGTACGGTATCATCTGTTCAAACAGAAAGCATACATTCCAGTGAGGTTTTGCATCTTTAATAAACTCCCTTTCAGCAGACTACTGCAAGTAGATTTCACTATCCTCTGTGAAGCAAGACAACGGATCTCGTGCTGTCATTTACTTTCATGGCCATATATCATCTCATGTAACGGACTTGGACCTAAATCCTCCATTCCTTACACATTCCCTTTTTTCCCATAGAAGATAGTGGGAGTATTAAGGCATTGACAGACTAAAGAGTGTAAGGTTTGACAGACTAAACAGTGTAAGGTTTCCCCTCAAATATAATAAAACTCAAACTTGGTTGTGTAAAACTAAGAGCTAGGTTAATATTTAGGCAGCTAAATTAAAAGCCCTTGTTTTTCAAAAGGAATTGCAGGTGTTCAGCATACGAACAGCATATGAATATCAAGGCCCTTACTTAGCTCTGTGAATACCGATTTAGGCTCCTAAGTTTGAAATGTTGGTCTATGAACCAAGTTATAGAGCCCATTCCATGTGTAAAACTTCCACTGCAGCATAAGGTATGCAGGGATTGTGACAACAGAATTTCTAATTATTTTTCAGAAGTATGAAAGCAAACAACAACAAATGCCAATATGTTACAATTATTAATTCAAAAGAGAACATAGGCAAAATTTGAAAAAAGTTTAATTAATCATTACTTACTGTCACTGTACATAAAAAAGTTAATATTCATCTGTGCTGCTACAATTTAAAATAATGGAAAAGAACCAGTTTCACCAGAAAAAACAAATGACAAACTGCATACATATTAATGGTAGAATATTTTCCTCTAATGTTAAGGTTTACATTTTTGAGGTTGTCCTAAAATCTGTTTGGCTATTTTTAATCAAAATTAATTTCCAATTAAAATCAAACAAAATAATTCATTAAAAGAAACTTTAAAATCACATTAAAATTTACCTTTGTTTTAGCTTGTGGATCATGTTACTATTTCCATACAAAAATTCCTCTCGCTCGGAAATTAACTAAATTTGGCTATTTTAAGAACAAGCTAGCTTTGAATGTGAACTTTGTTTCAAGTAAATAAACTGAATAATTTATATCTTAATAAAATCAAGTTGTCTAAGAATGTGTATCGATAACAACATCAATGGAATTGGAAAAAAGTTCTAATTACTGAGCCCTCAACAATTTCCTTTACAAACCTCACTGTCAACAGTTCTGGCCTAATAAGATCTGCGAATCATCACTAAGGATAACAGGACCGCGCTGGTGTATACAAAGGCAGAATTTGTTACTGGTGATTACACAAAAGCCAGTCTGAGTTTCAGATGCTTCTGCAAGTGTAGCACTAACAATTGGGAAACGACAAAACAAAACCCTTTTTATATTTAAACAGAACATATCTGGCATGGAAATCACTGAGACCTAATGGACGGTGGGACTCTATGATGTCATTTTTAAAAAGCTGCCTTTCAGAATAGAACTTCTTTTTCATGTAACATTAAGGGGCTCTTTTTCAAAGCAGCATCTGCCCCTTTTGACAAGGTGATCCCAAGGTCTCTGCACTTTGCACTTGTTTAATAGAGCAGTCTTTTCATCCATGCCTCTCAAAGCACTTTACAAATATTATTTTAATTGGAGTTGTGCAGTTAAAATCCTGAACAATCCTAAATGCTTGCCAGGGACCTGGGGAAGATTTTAGTTTATATTAATAAAAAAAGGGAAGGAGGACAGAGGACTAGAACTTCCCTACTAAAAACTGTCATGGCAATGGAAATAAACTACATTTTATGTCAGTCTGAATTTTGAATTTTCTGGATTTCATTATTAAGTTACATCCTCAGGGCTAATCTTGTCCTCAGTTTGCAGAGATGAAAATTCATAAGAGTGAACAATTTACTGTAAGCTTCCTTTTTTTAAAAAAAAATTTGATAGTTTATATGGCTTCTGAAGTTTACAAGAATTTAAGTAGTAATGTGTACTGATCAGTTTCCTGTCCTTTCCTGACTAAGAACAAGGAATGGTTGGAACTGGGAAGATCACCACACAGAACTCCATTTTTAAGAGTAATTATTGAACATAATAGTGGGTGATGAGATAATGTGTCTCTGACCTGTCCCAATCCTTGCATCTCTTTTGAGAGAAAATAATGGCAGACAGGATGAGAAGATACAAGAGAGACAAATACATTCCAATAGGTAGATTAGTACACAGCAAAAGTTGCATGCAACATTATTCTGTGATGCTATCCAATGCCTTGCATCCTAATAAAAATGAAGCTTGTTAGCAAACTGTTCTATCTGGGAATGGTTAATTGTCTACTTATGTTTACTCAAATAATCTTATAAATACACAATGCTCTCAGGGATGAGAACTTTTTGGTAGCTGATATAGTCTCAAACACAAACTTTTTATTAAGCCTACACATCATCATTCCAGCCCCATTCGACTTCATCTCAGTCTGCAGGATGTGTATCAGTTGGTTTTGTTTCCTCATTTTGCCTGCTGCTTTCTAATGACATACTTCTCTTATAGTGTGGGAGGGTAGTAGTAGCTGGGTAGCCCCTTTTAAAAACAAGCTGCATCTTTAACTGAAAGTATTTATGTTATTGGTTTGATTCAAAGTAAAAGTATTTTGTTATAAAAGATTAACACGGGAAACGTTAATTAGTGCTCGCCATATCTCATATCATGAAAGAAAACAAAGAATGTTTAGAGTCAAGTTATAAGTAGTAGGGAATTATTACCCTAATTGTATTCTCTGGAAGAAGAATGGTGTAATAATAGAAGTACACATTTATTGCAATTACAGATACTTCACTTGGACTTAGCATGCATTTAAATTATTATTAGGGAACATCAAAATATTTTAGAAATTCCCAAATATCCCCTTGAGTGAAAATAATGAAAATAGTATTTGTCCAGAGATACACATTTCAGACTGATAAAGCTGTCAAATTTATTTTGCTGATTAATAATATATTATAGTTAAAAGTATCAGCAAACATATCTCAGGATAAAAAAAGAGCTAAAAAAATTAATGCATTGCTTCATACCAAAGGAAAAACCCTTTTAAGTAACTTAAGAAACTGACATTCATATAAGAGAGCCTCCCTTTGGTATACATTAAACATTGTGCATGTGTGCACACGCATGCACACGTGTACAACAGAGAGAGACAGATTTTTTGTTAAATTTCATTTCAACTAGCGGTTTATGAAGTATCAACACTGTGCAAATACTTATGCATATTTATAAATATATGTATACACGCACATCAGAACCCTTATTCTTCATAGGTTTAATTTCTTTAGCCCCCTGAAAAGATGAGGGATTGCAAAAACCTGGGTGTATGTACAGACATAGCAAACAGCTGTGTGGGACTGCTGAGGTGTTCTAGCTACCTGCTGTGGCTTTTATTTCAGGGGGCACCGGTTCTCCAATTAGATGTGCTGGATAGCTGGTGTGCTCCAGATGAGCACCTCTGAAGTAAAGCACAGCAAACAGCTGAAGAGTTCCTCCTTAATTCAGCAACCTCCTAGGAATGAAGTGGGTTATGAACTATCCTGATAAGAAATGGGTGTGCACATCTATATCTATAGGTTGAACCTGGTGTAGAACACATATACCTATTCTTCTTCTTGTGTCCTGTCTGAGGCTATTGATGACAGGTATTTAGCAGAATTCGCAGATTCATTAGAAACTGACAGGGCTGTGACATGAGTCTGCTATGATTGTTACTGTATACATACATGTACACAGAATTTCTGCATATAAATTACACAGCGGAACCTGGATTTTTTCTTATCAGGATGGCATCTGTATCCATATCTATACAGACAGACAAATAGATAGACCAATCTATATCTAGATATAGAAAGATATAGATACAAACATATGCCCTGATTAATCACAGATTTAGAAATGTTTAATTTTAAATCTCATGAGCACCCTTATTGAAGTCAATGGGATAACTTGTGCTTAAAATTAAGCATGTCTTAAATCTGTGCTGATCTGAGTCAAACACATGTATACAAATGCAGCTTCCTCTCCCTTCCCCCCGTCCCAACACACACATGGTTACTGTTAACTTGTAACTGTTGGCAGTGTTCTTGGGGAAGGAAGGGGGAGGCAGGAAAAATTTGGTAGAATAAGCATGACTCCTATTCTTAAGGATAACACTGATTCAAAGAGAAGACTTGATATTTTAGGAAATGTTTGCTCTTTTAAATGGACCAGAAGGTGACATGGACCAGAAGGGGACATAAGTCTCTGTAAAAATTTGATGAGAAAATGTATCACAATTGTGCTTTGCCTAACCAGGTATACAAATGAATTTTTTTTTTTTTTTAAGGAAGATACTTTTACCAGTTGTGTGCCTGAGCCATGCATTACTATTAAATAAGCAACGACCCTACTATTTTTCAATATCCATACAAATCGCATGAAACAAAAAAGCACGTTTACTCTCCTCCAACGTGTTGGGGTTGTGTAAGGGAAGATGCAAGAACTTCTGGACACACCACTGGAAGTTTTAAAAAGGGGTTCTACATTGAACTAAACCAAATGTCATAAAAGAGCAGCCATTTTATCTCCCATGCATTAGACAAGGATACTGGAAGAATGAGGTATACCATAAGCAATATTAGCACTGGTAGAAATGAGACAAAGCAGAGCAATTATACCATGCAAAGCATGCAGAGAGAAACAGAGGCAAAGAAGTACTGAAGCACCAAAGGGAAAGACGCATTTGTTAAAAGAGATTCTCTAAGCATACTAACCTGCTGGTTCTAATGAATTTTCTACTTTGTCGTTAACATCGAAAACACGATCATGAACACCTATAGTTTTCATACAGCTGTCTATAACAAAAATAGAGATAACAGCCAAATATGTTAGTGAGACACCCTTAAACTCCCCACTTTCCTTTTTTTTCTCTCTCTATGTTTTTCTTCTCTATTTATTTTTTTATATATATTTATATTTTAAAGTCTATGGCACTTGTCCAAATGCCAGGATAGTCTTCCATTTGTACAACAATTTAAGAAACAACAAGTTAGCAACTGCTATGTAATTAAACAAAAAAGCTTTATGGAGAATGATAAGAAAATATGATGAAAATCAAAACACAAATGTTGCTGTACAGAACAGATACACAAGATTTAACAGTAAAAAAAAAAAGTTTTATTGCTGTTTACCAGATCACACAGTAAAGCATGCGTATAAAAGCCACCCTCAAAAGCTTGATATAAAGAACTTACTTGCTGGTCGCACAAAGACTTTAAGCTTTAGGCAGGACCTCCTTCCATTATCTGGGATTGCAGAAGCTAACAGAAAAAGGAGAGAATGAAAGAAAAATAATTTTATATGTTAAAGGCCTTCCTTTTCATGCCTTCCCTTCTAAAAGGAAAAAACATATTCCAAACCAAATTCAAGATGCCCCGATTAAGCAAAAACATTACAAAAACCTTACGGGGCAGATGATGGGAGAAATGACACAGGATATTTTCAAAGTTTCTTTCTCCATCTTCCCAATATTTTTCTGAAGGGGCTCAACTTAACACCATTTTGTATTCTGGGAGATTATCATGAAAAATGTAGCTCCAAGTAAAAGGATTCTTTTAAGTTTACTAGAGGACAAGAAAAATCTTGAAGTGCTAGATTTCAGATCAAGTACCATAAAAAAAATGGAAATCAGAATAATACTGTGAGTTATACAAATTCATTCTGGTATTTTAAAAAAATATAGTTAGTTTTACTAAGGTACCACACCGTTAAGTTCCTAAACTTGTGTGCCGGTGGTGCACAGGTACTTCAATTAGATATTTTACTCATAACCTCACTCCCTGTTCACCATAACTTAGCTAAAACAGCCCCCATTACTTTATCATTGAGTGCATCATTAGAAAGTTAATATCCACAACTAAATTAATAAGGCTAAATAACAGACTTCATAGTGTGCAAAAAATCATTTGCAGAGGACAATGGTTAGATCCAGTTGCTTTCTCTGGACAAATCCAAGAGACTATTTTTTTCTCAAAGTGGATGTGACTACTGACAATTACCCCACTATCAGCAGAGAAAATAGATTCCCTGAGGTTAAATTTTCTGCTGATCTTAAAACAACATGGGCACTGGCCTGAAAAGTTGCAATTTCGAAATGACATGTACACCTGTATTGAACACAAAAGTTGAGCACATGAATCTCCACTTCCACAGGACATTCTGTGTGCATACAACCTTATGTGCACTTTTTGTAGCCACAAAAATCAGAGGTCAGAGGTCAAAATGTAGCTTGTAGGTATTATTTCACTACACAGACTCCACAGTCATTTAAAGAGCTGGGTACTGGTTTAGAGCAAGTGATCCTGGCTAGGGACAACATTCAAAAAGCCAGAGCCTGAACTGATTCAACCTTTGCAGGTTAGTCTAACCTGCCTAGGCTGAACCGGTTTGTAACAAGCCAAACATTTGCTCTAGACTGAGGCAATGTAGGCACATGTCTGCAGCTGCTCAGGCCAGGAGCTGGGGGTTGCTAGAGAGGGCCCTCAGCTGCAGGGAAGCTGTGCTGGAGGAACATGGCCAGTTCAGACTGAACTGGCCAGGGAGGGGTTTAATTACCCCTCTCTATCCCACAAGCAGGGACCAGAGCCAGGTCTACCGGGTTGTCCCTTGTTGCTGCAGCACCAGGCACCATGGCCTCTGAGGCAGAGGGTGGCAGGGAAGAGAGTTAGTCTCCTTTCTACCAAGCCAGGACTACTCTTCCTCACTGCCACGCTCCCTGCCCCCCCCACTGCCCCCCAGGGGCCCTGCTTGGCTGTGCCCCCACCCTGCCACTCAAGCAGGAGAGGGCAGGGCCCTTGTTGGGGGCAGCAGCCCCTGTCAATGTGGGGGAGTGCAAGCCCCTTCCCAGCGGGGGTGCTGTGTTGTGGGGCCGGCAGAGCTACGGCAGGCTGCATGCAGCAGCACCAGGGTCCGGAGCAGGCTAGAGCCCTGCAAGCATGCTGGGATGCTGGAGGTCTCTAGTTTATGTTAAACTAGGAAGGGGTCTGGGACAGACATTGCATAAAGTGGTTTGAGCCAAACCAGTTAAGTCTGATATCCGGTTTCAGCCATTTTCAAACTGGTTTATGCACACTGAATGTCTGTTCTGTTACAGGTTTAAATCAGTTTCTAATCACTTAAACTGGTTTGTGTGTCATGTCTCTGTGTTCCAGGAAAAAAAAAACAACAACTATTGGGAGCTGTCTGGATTTACAAATAAATTTGGTGAAAGAGTCAGTTTGTTTTCTGTCTCTTACTCTGTCTCATCTGTTTTTATTAACTGTGTCCTCTGCGACAGATAACTAAAATGATTTACATGCACAGACATGAACTCACATGCTCCTTCTCTCTTTTGCTCTGTGAGGCAAGAGTATACTTGAAGCTCTCAAAAGTAACAAACTCTCTCTTCATTTCTGGCTTCCCTGCTTTCTAAGCTAGCACTAGTCCTGCCATAATAAGAACTAGCAAATTCAATGCACAAAACAGAAGAAAGAAAATATGAGACAAGTAGAGCTGGTGCTCTGATTCTGCACCTGTTGGGAAATACATGAGAGACTGTTTTCCTCTTTAATCAAGAGACAAAAAGTGTGCAGAAATGATGCTTCCCTCTCCCCTCTTCCCCCACCCATTCACAATGACAAGCAGTTAAGAAGTGCTAACAGCTGGCTTTGCTGTAGGCTCTCACTAAATCAAAGTCGGAAAAACTCCCTCTACTGACATTTACAGTAACTGGTGTGTTATTTAGGGCACAATATTTGCACTCTGTGGTTATATCCAGGAAACTGTGTCCTTTCTATGGCCCCAATTGAATACATACAACTAAGCACTAAACAGGTAGTTGTGGATTACTTAAAGACAAGAATGTTATACCTAACACTCCATTACTAATATATGCAATGATAGGGTTCTACAAACACTTCTACTACTAGCTTAATCAGCGACCATAATGCACTTGCGATTCCTCACATACCTCCTGTACAAAAATGATTTTAGAAATGATATGCAAGGCACACACGTTCAAGGGTAGGATTTAATACTGACATTTACAGGTTAGTAACTTATGATCATTTTCATAAATGAAGACTATTTATTACTTATTAATATGTATTAGAACACTATTCCTTGTTATGGATTCACTACTCTTATTTGGGAAAAATAAGGAAGTGACACTTTGCACATGAACACAAAATTGACCATTCCCAAAACTGTAAAATCTAAGAGCGAAAGGAATCACTAGTTGGCAGGCTGGGTTTTTTCAGAGACCATAACTGTATTTAACCCTCCTTTTCCTAAAAGGAAATGTCCCAGCAGTGCTAACTTGGGCTTGGGAAAAAGCTTTTCATGTCATGAACTGATTGCTGTCACCATAATAAAAATGAAATGGTTACAATATAACGTTAAATTCCACATCCTAGAAACAGATATATGCTTTGATGCAGGCAGGAGAGAAGAGCCTCTGTCCCCCACAGGAAATTATTTATTTTTATGCTTACAGTAAAACAAATGAAGAAAACTCCTCACTCCCCACAGAGTTTTACTCCTTCAAAAAGAAAAGAAAAGAAAAAAAAAAAAAAAAAAAAAAAAAAAAA